AATTTCTATAATTCAAAATCTTTAAAGGATTGTTAGGCTGCATTAATTAGGTCAACCGGAACCGGGAACACTTCCCATAACATCCGATGTACTCGTTACATCATAAGAAGAATGGCATCTACGCTAATATTAGTCTCTTTCATTCTTATTCCGAGGTCACCGTAGCCACCCAGATCCAGTCCGTATCCAGTTCAGATGGTGGATCAGCACCTAGAGATGGCCTCTACAGACCTGAATGTCAGCGGAGACCACTTCAACTAGATGCACCCCAGAGACAGATCCCTTGCGAGGAACTCATCACTTTGATGACCATCGGCACAAGACCATGGGAAGTCCTCTGCACATGTGTTGCAGCCTGGAATTAAACCATGCCATGCTGGTTTCGTCTGGCCAGAGGAGAACTGGCCCCCGACTGAGCCTGGTTTCTCCCAAGGTTTTTTCTCCATTTCTGTCACAGATGGACTTTTGGTTCCTTGCTACTGTCGCCTTTGGCTTGCTTAGTTTGCTTAGCTTGCTTGACTGATTGCAGAGACACTATTGGAAGAGAACTGAACTGGATGATGACATCACTGAATCATCAATGAACTGACTTTAGCTGAAAAATTACTCTGTTATTGTCTTCTTGCATCATTGACAAACTATTTTCCTGTTTGACTCTGTAAAGCTGCTTTGACACAACCAGTATTGTATAAAGCGCTATACAAATAAAGGTGACTTAACTTGACTTGACAACTGACTTAGAGCCACACAGCCTGAAATCAACTGAAATAAGACATTAAATCTCTCAAGATCTCAGCAGAGGAGGATTAAAAAAACTCCACAAACAGCATTACCAGCTTCACGCATTACTAACCAGACTGACTTTATTTCTGTTAGACGTCTACAGAAGCTCTTATTGAGAATTAATAGAGGTTTAGATGTTGATGTTTCATTTTTTCATTTTAAGCACTTTAAGTTTAAGCACTTTTAAAAAACTCCTGTTATAATCAGTGAAGCTGTCCACAATGTGAAAAGTAACTCTTACTTACATCGTACACACATCAGCATTCTGTTGTTTATGATGAGAGAATCCGCGAGAGAGCAGAATTAGTTAGCAAGCGCGCACACTGAACAAATCATCTGAATGCTTTTGATTGGCCATTGCATTCATAACCTCAACAGAATTGTGTGTGATTGGTTATAAGGCGCAACACTGTAAAACACATAAAAATAAATATGATGCGATATGCGCAGAGCTAAATGTAATGCCACAACCAACACTTCGCACGGAGGGACTCGCTTCATCGCTCCTTTCACGAGCAGGCTGTGAACCCCTTGCCTCAAAACAGGGGCATTTTGAGGCAATGTCAGTGACGGGGTCATGCCGTTGAAACGGGGTGGTCTGCAACTGAACTGGAGAGAATACCCGTGTTCCATTATGCCCAGCAGCCAGCGCGAAACACCTGGAACAGCTCTATATGTGTCTAGGAACTGACATAACGGCCGTGTCTCTCCGGTCGCTATCGCTGGCAGCGATGTTCGTATACTGGCGCGAGGCTAAACACGCTATCGGGCTCGATAATGGCTCGTGGAGGATAACACTAGGAGGCCATAACAGTCACAGACAGTGGCTCTGCGCTGCTCTGAGGCAGGACGAGTAACGCCGTATCAATAGGATGAGGAGGAAACAGCTCTTTTTGAAAGAGCGCTTGTGTGTTTATTGTGCAAACAGAAACATGAACCTTGCATTTTTCACCTGCTGGAGCAAAGGGAACATAATGCAGGATCCGGCGCTTGGGGGCCAGGCCTCTAGCGAGCTCTCTACTCCTCTTGGCAGGTCTGTCAGGATGAAGGCTTGGCAGCCGAGGGCTGTTTAACTGTTCCCTGAGCAGAGCAGGGTGCAGAAGAGAAGTGTGATCTCGACGGTGGATGGAGCGTGCACCAGGGCATCACGTGACTCATCGCTTTTGTGCCTAAAGAGAGGCACTCAATAACAGACTCCACAGCATCACCGAAGAGGCCAGAGGGAGTGATCGGCGCATTAAGGAGTGCCCTACTGTAAGTCTACAAGGCTTAGAAGGCAGGCTGACATCCGGTCAAAGTGTGGCTCGCTGAAGCGTACTCCTGCAGCTCTGATTTTTATTTTTGGTGATTTTAATCATTGCAGAATGGACCTCTCACTTCCAGGGTATGAACAGTACTGTATATAAAATTTTACATCTGAGTAAATAAGATTCTTAAATAACATTAAATAACATTCGGGAATGTGAAGGATGCATGTGTGGCCAAGCCTAAACGCCCTTTGTCGAACTGCGATCATAATACGATTCACTTGATTTTCACGATTCACCTATAGAACACTTTTAAAAAGGATAAAGCTACAGACAAAGAATGTATCCGTTTGGTCTGATGACAGTATTTAAATTTTAAAAGGGCTGCTTTGCTTGCACGGACTGGGAACTGTTTCATGAAATGGGCATTGAGGATGCCATAGAGACAATAACAGACTGTATTAACTTTTGTGTGGACACAGTTGAGAAGAAAACTGTAACTGTATTTCCGAATAATAAAAGTTATATTACAAAGGATATTAAGGAGTGTTTAAATAGGAAGAAGTTGGCTTTTATCAAGATAAAACTGAATTAAAATTAGTTCAAAAGGAATTAAAAACCTAGAGATATTATAGAACAAAATTTTTACTCTATGGATTCCAGAAAATTATGGGATACTATGAAAGTAGTAATATGGAACCCCTCCGGAAAATGACCAGCAAAGAGCAAATGATCTGAATTATTTTTTTCTTAGGTTTGAGTCACCTTTGGAGCAAATGGCTGATTTAGACTCTATTATGTGTAATCCAGATCAGAGATTAGAGGTTGCTCCACACATAGTTTGTTCGCTATTTAAAAAGATATTGACGTTATAACGTGAAACTCTACTATCTTCATTAGGGTTTCAAACCTGTTTTAAAGCAATTTGTTAATCTATAAATAAATCAATAATGTATACATATTATTATTTACATGCATTACAATTCTAAATAAATCAAGGTAATATGATCAATATTTATAACTCACTCAAGTTATTTCCATCTTCTGCTGCTGAGAAACAAATGAAAAACACACACACACTTTTTAGACGGTCCCTTACTTTTCCAGCGCACCGAGAAAGATATTCGTAAGATATTCAGTGAAAATATGATATTAGATGATCAAGAGTATATTTTTATTGATTAAATTAGTTGTAGCATATTAATTCACTTGTGTTAACACTTTGCATCCACTGTTGGAAAGCTATTGAAAAAGAAAGTCAGAATGTGCGCTTACACAACATATCAGTTCTGGCATTGCCAACTTGACATCACAGCCTGTTCATTTTGTATTATTTTGGCGTGCTATGTTCTTCCGGACCATTAGGTGGCCCTAGTAGCTCTACCATTTCTGTATAAAGGAAGGAAGCAGTAGAGTGAGAGAGAGACTCAGTTTTGAGTGCATTATTGCAACTGCTCAAGGATTATACCCAAAGCGTTCCTGGCCCCCTACTTCAAGGACTTCTCAAATAAACTTGAATTGAAATAAACTTGAATTGAATTGAATTGAACCATGCAGGTCTCACCTTAAACCTTCAAAAGTGTAACCTGATGCAGAAGTCTTTAAAGTTTTTGGGACATGTAATCTCAGCTTCAACTTTAGCAGGGTCAGTTTTAATTCCATCTGCTGTTACCAACTTTCCTGTTCCCAAGTCCCTAAAAGAAGTGCAACGTTTCTTAGGTCTAGCCGGATGGTACCACCGATTCATCCCTCAATTTTCTGAGAAAGCTGCCCCGTTGCATGCCTTGAAAAGGAAGGGAGCTACATGGACTTGGACAGAGGAGTGTCAGAGTTCTTTTGAGTTGATCAAACATGAACTAACCAGCGCCCCAGTTTTAATTGCTCCGGATTTGTCAATATCTTTTAGAGTCCAGGCTGATGCCAGTGATATTGGTTTGGGAGCAGTCTTGACCCAAGATATAGACGCTGTCGAACATGTCGTTGCCTATGCCTCACGTCTACTGCAAGGAGCTGAGAAATCGTACTCCATTTCAGAGAAGGAGTGCTGCGCAGTGATATGGGCAATTGAAAAATGGAGACCTTACTTGGAAGGAAGACCTTTCAAAGTGATAACTGATCATGCTGCTTTATTAACCTGGGTATTCAATCACCCAAAACCCTCTTCACGTCTGATCCATTGGTCCATTCGCTTGCAAGAGTTTGATTTCACCATCAAGTATCGTAAAGGTCAGTGCAACATCGTACCTGATACACTGTCACGCCGTTTCCCGGATACCTCTCCACTGACTATGCTGTCATCGGTAAAGTCCCAGGATTCATCAACCACTTTCTCTTCATTTCCCATTGAATGGTCCGATATCGCAAAAGCCCAACAGGAAGACGCAGAAATACAAGAACTCATCATAAAGGCCAAAGCATCCATTGACCCAGATCTCACTCGCATTCATTACGTGTTGGAAAATGGATTTCTGTTCCGCAGCATGCCGCAAGGACAGAAAGGGCCCAAACTTCAATTAGTCATTCCTACCTGTTTAAGACAAAGTTTCCTCAACTACGCACACAACAACCCGCTAAGTGGACATCTTGGAAGGCTCAAAACTCTGTTAAGACTTGTAGACATTTGCTACTTGCCTACTCTACGTTCAGATGTATGGAAACATTGTAAGGAGTGTCAGGTATGTCAGCAATACAAACCGTCCATTTCAAAACTAGCAGGCCACATGCAGTCTACACCAGTAGTGGAACCCAGGCACATGTTGGGAGTTGACCTCATGGGACCATTCCCCAAAAGTTCCTACAAACAATCCTGGTTTGAGAAACATTTTGTTTGCTGTTCAACCAGTATTTTTCTTGTTTTGCTTCTTCTTGTGCTTAATTGTCGCAATACATGCTGAAGCTAGCATGTTTACAACCATGTTGCTGTGTGGATGCACAACTGTGGAGTTCTTTTGAGTGCATTATTGCAACTGCTCAAGGATTATACCCAAAGCGTTCCTGGCCCCCTACTTCAAGGACTTCTACAAATACAGAAATCATCTAATCATCAGATAAGACAGTTGATTTATTCATGAACTACAACCATTGACCTGTACTGGTTTGGCTAATCTACAGATTATGGGACATTTCTGGAGTGAAAATGGTTTAATACACATTTGGAAAAGGAATTTAGACTGTTTTGGGCCTTTTTGCGTTTACTGCAGAACTTACACCCAATAACCAATTAGACCCTTTGCAAAGATACTGGTCCCCCCTTTTTTTCTGGTATAGCAATCCCAGTTTTGAATAGCTGGGACAGTTATAATATAAAGGCTGTGTCATCACCTGTCTACATGATGTTATTCCAAACGCATTTCTCTGTATAAGGATGCTGATTTACTTGTAGGCTATTTTAGGATCCAACTGAAGTACGAAGCCTTCGTTTCATAAATAATTTAGCATGCAGATGTTAAATCGGATATATGGAAACTTTGGACTGAATGAGAGATGCACAAGCCCAACGTCGTTTCAGTTTCAGTTTCGATTCAAATAAATTCATTTAGGCTTGGCTTTTAAAATAAATGTTGTTTGTAATAAATGCCACAATTATTTATATAGGCTAGTATATTTTTATCTTACATGGTTACTTATATGTTTCATTGTTTTTTTTCCCCTGAATACCATTCATTTAAGGATTTGCCATGGAGTGAGGGGAAGTAAGTGTTAATAATCTAGTTGACATGGTCTCCGCTGATACTCCGCGCTGTAGAGGTCGTCTCTAGGTGCTGATTCACTATCTGGTCTGGATATGGACTGGATCTGGGTGGCTACGGTCAGTGGCACCTGCAGGTGTACGGCTGTACGCACTGTGCGTACTGTGAGCGCTCTGACTGACCTGATGCTGAGAAACATTTTCCCTGCGAATATTTCAGCAGTTATTACCTAGTTGTGTCCTGTTCTGTCGAATGAACCAGCGATGTCAATCATTCGTGATTTAATCATTCTTTTGAGTCAGTTCTCTCTTTTCGGTGAACTGGCTAAATGCATTTGAACTGCTCTCTCACTGAATCATACAGCCTTTCCCTGGCCTCGGGTCGGAAATTAATGGGGGCTTGAGGCAAAAAATACCATCAAATTGGATAAAAATGCCCCTGCACAAAACTAAACTAAAATCTATTATTACGGCTGTTGCGAATAAAGTGAAAATGAAATAAAGTGTTGATTGCGGCATTATCGGAGCATATCGCATCATATTTCTTTTTACGTGTTCTACAGCGTTGCGCATTATAAGCAATCACACACGATTCTGTTGAGTTTATGAATGCAATGACCAATCAGAAGCGTTCAGATGAGTCAACGCTGAAAAGCTGGAGTTTTGTTCAGTGCGCGTGCTCGTTGACTGAATTCTGCTCTCGCCTGAATTTTCTCATCATAAACAACAAAGTGCAGATGTACAATGCAAGTAAGAGATTCATTTCCCAGTGTAGGCAGCTTCAGTGATAATAATGTGAGTTGTTTGAGAGTGCTTAAACTCATTCCAGACTAGTGATAATGTGATCATGTAAATTCTTTGCTCTCTTTCGGTATATACACTGAACAAAATTATAAACACAACACTTTTGTTTTTGCCCCCATTTTTCATGAGCTGAACTCAAAGAGGGGCAAAAACAAAAGTGTTGTGTTTATAATTTTGTTCAGTATAATTTACTCGCTGTTTGAATAACCATGGAATTTAAACAAAATAATGAAATAACTAGTAACTTACAATGTTTTTATTAAACTATGATAATGTTAAATATAAATTCAGTCATATTAAAATATTTTATGACATGATAATCTAAAAATAGGGGCTTATGATGTGCATAGTTAATAGATTACACTAACATTAGGCTACTTTTACCTGGAGGTGGTTCACCACCTAATTTGAATCACCTGAAGCGGTTTCTTAGTCAGTAAAACAAACAAGAATACAGAGACCAAACCAAGGTTATTATAGTTTTGAATTTTTAAATTAGTTTTATTTTAATATAGTTTTCAAATTTGCTATACAATTCAGTTTAGTTTTTATTAGTTTCATTAATATTGCTGTTAGTTTTAGTTTAGTTTATTTTGTGAACACATTTTTATTTAGTTTTTATATAGTTTAGTTTCAGTTTTAATTAAAGGTTAGCAGAATTAACAGATCACTTCCAGAGCGCAGGCCAAAGAAAGACTTAGGCATAATTTAGCTTTAGTGATGCAAATGTCTAGCGACACAAAATTAGCACATGCTGAGATTGATTAAATGGTAAAAGTATACAAATATACGCCCATATGACCCCTTTAAACTGCTTTGCGTCTCTCCAGAAGATAACCTCACGTGCGCAATGCGCCATTTACGGGTATTTCCCTAAACCGCCACCGCCACACACACAGCTCATATATTTTTCCGCCAAGGGATGAGAACGTAAATGATTACGAAAACGATTATTTATTTTTGATAATTATTATTTTATTTCAGTTTACGAAATTGTTTTTTCATCAATCGTTTTCGTCTTAGTTTTAGTTTTCGTTTACGAAAATAACCTTGGACCAAACTGTGCTGGATGAAGTGGACAATCAACTACAAACAACGGAAACAAAAGAATATATTTTGAGTCCTGTGAATAAGAGGCCATTCACACCGAATCGGTGTTTGTGTCCACCCGCACTGTTTTTCAGTTGTTTTCCTGTGTGAACATGCGATGGACATCTTTGACCATTCCGTTGCTTTTTGTAAAAAAAAATTTTTTTAAAAACGCGTCTCTGTGCATACCCTCTGCTGAAATCCTGCAGGCTACGGTGATCATCTGGTCTGAATACGGACTGGATCCGTATGGCTACAGTGACCTCGGAATAAGAATGAAAGAGACTAATATTAGCGTATATGCCATTCTTCTTATAGCAAGTACATCGGGTGTTATGGGAAGTGTTACAGCCTAACAATCCTTTAACATATTTGAATTATAGAAATGCGGTAGTGTGTTATGTGTATGCCAGGTTAAAGAGATGGGTCTTTAATTCAGATTTAAATGAACAGCATGTGTCTGCCTTCCGAACAACACTAGGTAGATTGTTCCAGAGTTTGGGTGCTAAATAGGAAAAGGATCTGCCGCCCGCAGTTGATTTTGATATTCTAGGTATTATCAAATGCATGGGCGTCCCTAGCACATGCCCCAGTAACAATCTGCTGTGCCCCAGTAAAATCTAAAGTTTGCATTATAATTTACATTATTTGTCAGTGTATTAATTTAGAGTGATAATTCCGGAATAAAGAAATTAATCTATATGCAACAACCAAATCAACGCTTGTAAAAGCAACGCAGTTTACCCGAAAACAAACTGACACATGCGCGCAGAAATCAATGCCTGCGCGCAACTACTGTATGTGTTTAACTGCAATTCGCAGACTTTCACGCAGAAGTGTCAGCATGCAGTTGAGGTGGGCTATGAAAAAATCACAAAATCAGTGCTCAAAGTGGGCTGGTACACACCTGTACGCTGTAGCAGCACTTTTATACTTTTATCCTTAGCGTACCGTGAAGTTTTCTGCCGTTCCGGGAAGGTGTTCTGACGATTTGTGCTACCCTGTCAGATTTTGCTACATCCCATCAAAACAGTAGGTAGCACAATGCGACAACAAAAAATGCTAACCATCAGATTATGCTTTATTAACGCCTACACCTATACCCCAACACTAAATCTACCCTTACAGTAATGCAAATACAGTCATTGTGTTGTTCAGCGTGAGAAAATTGACGCAATATTGATGTAAACCCTGGTAGGACAATATGTCGGGTAGGATGAAATGCCAGGACACCGGCACTTCTCACATGCTGCCCTGTGCCCTCCCAATTTCCACCGAGGGGGATCCCCCAGCCCCAGAACGCGATGTCCCTCACGCATCGGGAGTACCGGCAGTTTCGTATTTCCACTTCAAGCACTGGACGAAACTAAAGTATGTTTCTAAATAATATGATGATCTTATTTTGACTAAAATGTAGATGGACAACAGATTTTTTTTTTAAAAATTTTTTATGTACGAAGCAGTCACAGAGAAGCAGAAAGGAGAGACGATGAGTCTGAGGGAAGTAAGACTTGATAAACAAACTTCATTCTCAGCCATCATAGAAAATAGACTGGGAGGAGAACGTAACAATTGGGGGCTTGTCCAGGATTTTGAGGTTTATCTTGGGGGTAGTGTTCTACCCGTAATTGTGTAAACCTCAAAATCCTGGGCGAGCCCCAATTATTACGTTCTCCTCCTAGTATAATGGTTAGGAGGGGAGGTAACAACCCATAGGAAAAATGTATTGCTCAGTGGTTGCTTTTCCTAAGCTCAGGAGACTTAGATGAGATGCTCATATATCTCTCATTTTAGTACCAACATTTCAGATGTTTCTCCTAAAATTCCTTAGGAGAAATGTAAGTAGACACAAATGAGACAGGAGAAATATTTGAGAAAAAAAGACTCAAAACTGAGATTGTGGTGGAAGAAACATTAGAATATATATTTATTGTCTTGCTGCAATCTCTATCAAGACTCCATTATAGGAATATTTTATTGCTCAGTGGTTGCTCTTTCTAACCTCAGGAGACATAGAGGTGATTCTCATGTATTTCTCATTTTAGTCTCAACAGTGTCTCAGATGTTTCTCCTAAAAATCCTTAGGAGAAATAAAAGTAGACACAACTGAGACATGAGAAAGTTCTGAAAGAAAGGAATACAAAATGACAGAACAGGAGCAAGAAAGTACCTTTAGCTGGGATTTGAACCCATGTTGTCTGAGGTTCAGATATGCCTTCATGTCGATGTGCTGCCCACAAGGCTATGGCTCTGACAGAGCTTACTCTACGCTCAGGATATTAAGGGCTGATTCTCTTTATATGTCTCATTGAGCTATTAGCTTTGTCTTAAAGGGGTGGTTCATTGCGATTTCACTTTTTTAACGTTAGTTAGTGTGTAATGTTGCTGTTTGAGCATAAACAATATCTGCAAAGTTACGAAGTTGAAAGATCAATG